TCCCCTCCCCTCTCCTCCCTCCCCTCCCCTCCCTTTCCTTCCCCTCCCCTCTCCTCCCTCCCCTCCCCTCCCTTTCCTTCCCCTCCCCTCTCCTGCCCTCCTATTCTCTCCTCCCCCCGCCCAACAGACTCTCAATTTGTTGTCCAGGCTGGAGTGCAGTGGCAGGATCTTGGCTCACCGCAACTTCCACCTCCCAGGCTCAAGTGATTCTCCTGTTTCAGCTTCTGAAGTAGCTGGGATTACAGGTGTGTGCCACCATGCCTGGCTAATTTTGTATTTTTAGTAGAGATGGGATTTTGCTATGTTGGTCAGGCTGGTCTCAAACTCCTGACCTCAAGTGATCCACTCATCTTGGCCTCCTGAAGTGCTGGGATTACAGGTGTGAGCCACCGCGCCTGACTTATCTTTAATTTTTCAACGAATATTTTCACCACATTTTTATTTGCTGTTTAACTTTGCTTCTCTTCCTTTGATGTACAAAATATTTAACAAATATTTCTCAGGCTGCCCACATAATGCAAGGGATTGTTTTAGGCAAAAAAAAAATATTTCTTAATACTTAGATAATTCCTCTTTTTGGACTCCCTGCCATGTCCCAGTCCTTTGGGTGAGCAGGTTTATAGAGAGCCCTTTCATCTTTAGAGAGAGGGCCAGAAACAACTCTGAGAGGCATGGTTTTTCACTTTAGGGCAAAAAAAAAGACAAAGGTGAGAATTGTTTGCGCCAGTTATTTACGGAGACTCATATTATCCTTCTTTCTAAACAACTATTTGTAGGGAAGGAGAAGAGGGGGAACAGGGGGCTTTAAAAGTCACACGATTAACCTGCAGAAAGGAAAGTCCCTAGAAGGGAGCAGGACTGTGAGTGTGAAGGGAGGACCCAGCTGCCTGGGGGGAAGCTCTCCTCCAACTCCCTGTTTCCTATCCTGCACCTCCAACTTCTCCCAAGCTCCTTTAAAGGTTGATTGTGACAAGAAGCCTGGAGATGGTATTTGTAGACATCAGTAGAACATACAGATATGAGGCCAAGTGCTGTGGTGGTTCACACCTGTAATCCCAGCCCTTTGGGAGGCTGAGGCAGGAGGATCGTTTGAGCCCAGGAGTTCAAGACCAGCCTGGGCAACACAGTGAGACCCCCATCTCTCCAAATAATAATAATAATAATAATAATAATAATAATAATAATAGTCAAGTGTAGTGGCATGCATCTATAGTCTCAGCTCCTCATGAGGCTGAGGTAGGAGGACATTGAGGCTGGGAGTTTGAGGCTACAGTGAGACATGTTTGCATCACTGCATTGAGCATGGGCAGCAGAGAGAGACCCTGTATCCAAAACAGAAAAAGAAAAAGAACATATGCTGGATACTCTCAGACTCTCAGAAGCATCGGCCTTGGTGCCTTATCACCTTGGTTCAAATCCCATCCCACCTCTGCCAGTTAACAGATGCATAAATGAGAGTGAGTCCCTTAATCTTTCTGAGCGTCAGTTTTGTCATTTGTGTGAGGGGATACTCACTTGTGTGATTGATGAGGATCAGTGGTCGCATATGTAAAGTGCATTGCAGAGTCTGCCCACAGTGGGTGTGTAATCAGAGGCCATTCTAACATACCAGGGAATTAACTGGCAAGTTCTCGAGGGTCATTGGTATGCAGTCAGCATCGCACGAGTTCTGTGACAGCAGGTTCTAACAGTCAACCTGCATGAACTTGTATGGTGTGGCCAAGGAGATAGGGCACAGCTCTGCAACTGTATATGACAGTGCAAAAGTGCTAAATTGTAGAGGAGTGGTTTAATTCTTATAAGCAGAAAGATAACTCCATGGTTTGAAATAATTAGGAAAAACTTCATGGAAGAAGTAGGAGTTTAAGTTGGGTGTTGATGCTTTACGAAACATATTCTTTGATTAGACAGTATTTTTCCTTCTGAAAATGAAAATACATATTTTTCCTTTTAAACAATAATATGTACTCTTTTAAAAATGCTTAGACAATATAGTAAATCAATTAAAAAAATCTCACTGCCCAAGAATACCTACTATCAATACTTTGTTGTATGAAGTACATATATATTTGTATACAAATACAATTTTGTTTGCTTATTTATGCAAAAAAGGGGAATATTTAAATATCGTATTGTAGAATATTCCATTATACAGAGGCTTTATAATTTGTTTAAATCGTTATTGTTAAACGTTTAGGTTATTTTAGCACAGCTAAGTATGTGAATGCCTCCGTTTAATCAATCAATAGCTTAGTGATTTTGGTCCAGTTATGGCTGGATCACTTTCCAGAAATGTTATAAAAGTTGTGTCAATTTATACCACCTTCCCACCAGTTTATAAGGGTTCCCTTTTCCCCACATCCTTCACAGTATTGGCAATTGTCAGTATTTGACAGTCATTGCCAAGCCGCCAGGTAAAAATTATATCACTCATTTAATGTGTATTTTTAGACTACCCTGTGTTAATCGTGGTGATACACAGTCCTAGCTATCCCCTCTCAGAGCTCGGAGACCAGTAGGTTAAAGAGACGTTAAGCAAGTAATTACTGTAAATGTGATGAGGGGTGTTACCATGTGCATTTCTTGGATCATCCAGTCAGGTCCTTAATGAATAAAGTAACACAGGCCCCTTGTGGTTTTGCAGCAATGTGGCCTCTTGTTTCTTGGTGGACAGATGTACTTTTCTGCCCGTTGGTAACTCATGGAATACAACAGATGGTAGGTGAATACCAGAGAGCATCCTGAAGGATTTTCTAGGGGAACAACATGAACTAGATTATGCTTCTCTGGCCTCATTTCAACAACATCCTCAGAATCTTGTCTATTATTGATGCCTTGAGGACCATATGTTGCCTATGAGGATATGTCCCGATGTAGCATACTCTAGTTGCACAACATGGGACAAAATAATAATACAATAAAATGGTGCTAGAACAACTGGATATCAGTATGAATTTAAAAATGGGCAAATGATTTGAACAACCATTTTATAAAGAAATTTATGAATGGTTAAACATGCAAAGATACTCAACACCGCTAGTCGTTAAGGAACTATAATTCAAACTACAATGAGATAGTGGTTTGATTTATAGTAGAATGGCAAAAATTACTCAGTAGAATGGCACAATTAAAAAGATTGACAACACTCAGTGTTGGTGAGGATGTGGGACTCTCCTACCTTGCTGGTGGAAATCCAAAGGGATACAGCCACTTTGGAGAAGAGTTTGACAGAGTTTTATAAAGTGTCCTAAGTATTTTCCCAAGATAAATTAAAATATTTAATTTTAATTGTTTACATACAAATACTTGTATGCAGATGTTCATAGCAACATTTTTTTGTAACAGCTAACAACTGGAAACAGTGCAAATGTTCATCAGTCACAAACAAATTATGGTAAATCCATGCTCAGCAATAAAAAGGATTTAAATATTAATACATACAATAAGGTAAATGAATTTTAAAATAACTTTGCTAAGTTAAAGAAGCCAGGCATGATGAGCTGTGTCTGGCATGGTTCCCTTTATAGGAAATTCTAGAAAAGGCAAAACTGTAATGAAAACAAAGATGATCAGTGGTTGCCTGGGTCAGGGTCTGGACTGGGGAATCAAAAGCAAAGGGGTAAGAGGGAACTTTCTGAATGATGGAGATGCTCTGTCTTGGTTACGGTGATGAGGGTTTGTATATACCTGTAGGCAATTACCAAAACTCAGCAGGCTTTATACTTAGAATGAATAATGAATAGATTTTATTTATGTGTATTATATTTAAATAAAGCTGGGAGAAAAAATTAGCAAATCGGAACTTTGCTCTTTTAAAAGGTCTTTCCTTCTTGATTTGTAATTATTATTTTTTGAGACAGAGTCTCACTCTGTCGCTCAGGCTGGAGTGCAGTGGCATGATCTTGGCTCACCGCAACCTTTGTTTCCTGTGTTCAAGAGATTCTCCTGCCTCAGTCTCCCAAGTAGCTGGGATTACAGGTGCCTGCCCCCATTCCCAGCTAATGTTTGTATTTTTAATAGAGACAGGGGTTTCACCATGTTGGCCAGGCTGGTCTTGAACTCCTGACCTCAAATGATCCTCCCAAAGTGCTGGGATTACAGATGTGAGCCAATGTGCGCAGCCTCCTCCTGTAGTATTATTTCTATTTTGAATTACATATGAGAGTGGTACATCATGAGCTCCCAGCGCTCAGAGGTTCTCAGCATCTCAATGTGGCCCTAGCACCGGAGCATGAAAGGGCTTCTTGGCCACATGAATCACCACCTGGCCCTGTCCTTGAAGCTCCCTCAGGTCAGCAGTTCTGTGACTTTTGTGCCACACTTAGAGCACTGGAATTCCTGGTGACACTGGGATCGCTGTGCCAGGTTTTAGCCATCCCAGGTACCAGTACCTATGGAGCATCTACCTCCCAGGCAAAAGGGGGCAGGGCACTTACATATTCCTTCACAAATCTGCTCCCAACATCCCCTTGTCTCCCTGCCATTATCTCTTCCACAGTTTAAACATTTTCTCCCAGGAAGCCTTCATCAAATCCCTCAGGCAAGGTGGCACAAAGCCTGCCTGAAATGGAGGGGGCGTGGAGAAGTGGAAAAGAGGAGGATAACACACACAAGTGAATATTTCAATAAATTATCCTGCCATGAATGTCAAAGTATGCTCAAGAAATGCTAATGTCCTCACTGAGGCAAGAGGCAGGCAGGGGGCCTGGAAAGTCTCTATATACAAAGACCTGGATGAGCTGGTGGATGGGGCACAGGGCAAGCAGAGGGGCTGGCAGGGGTGAAGTGAAAAAAACACAGTGAAGGCACCTGGTCGGGCAAGGAGGGGTGCTGGGGTGGGCAGAGGGCCAGGAGCTAGAGGATTCCTAGTTATGTAGATGGAGTTTAGGAGTTGATCAGGGGCCACCTGTTGAGAGATATTTGAGATGGATGAGTGGCTCAGGGAACTGATTTCTGGGCTGTGCCTAGTGCCAGGGAGGTGGCCAGGGATACCCAGAGGGTAGCTGCAGTTGGCTTGGGGTAGGGCTCATGGGCCCCACAGACCTGGTCCTCCGTAAGGGAGGGAGAGGAGTCTCTCGGGCCTAAACTGGGTGGAGGAGCAAAGGTGGGATCAGAAAGTGAGACAAGGCCTGGCACGGTGGTTCATGCTTATAATCGCAGCACTTTGGGAGGCTGAGGCCAGAGGATCACTTGAGGCCAGGAATTGGAGACCAGCCTGGTCAACATGGTGATGCCCATCTCTACTAAAAATACAAAAAGTATCTGAGCATGGTGGTACATGCCTGTAGTCTAGCTACTCAGGAGGTTGAGGCAGGAGAATTGCTTGAACCCAGGAGGCAGAGGTTACAGTGAGCTGAGATCATGCCACTGTATTCTAGCCTGAGTGATAGAGACTCTGCCTCAAAAATAAAAAAAATAAATAAAAAAAAAAGAGAGAGAATAACGAGGGATAGTCCTTTAATCTTTTCTCTCCACCTTTATTTTCTTCCCAGGCAATTCTTTTCTTCCATTATTTTCTTCTCCGTTCTTTTCTTCCCCCAACTCTTTCTCCTCTCCTTCCCTTCCCTCTCTCTTCTCCCTTCCCCTCCTTTTCTCCCTCTCTTTCTCTCTCCCTTTTTCAATCCCTTTCTCTCTTGCTGTCTTCTTACCCCACCTTGTTCGGAAAAGCCTGCAGAGCAGAGGCTGCTCTCAGAGTCATGTCATGAGTAACCCACTTGTGTTATTTGCGGTTTACCTACCTGTAGAAAATTCGTACCCTAAGATCTCCACATACTGTGGGCAACTGGTTTATAATTCAACTCCACAAATATTTACTGTGCTCTGGTTAACTGAGTGTCCTTTGTGCTGGAAGTGCCAGAGAGATGCAAATGGCAGTGGCAGTCTTCTGAGGAGCCAGTCTGGGGCCCCTGGCTGATGCTGGCAGAAGACACATCCCTCTCTCCCCTCAAGGATGCTAAAGAGCTCTCTGTCTACTAGTATCCTCGGCCCACTTTTTTCTCCAACAAGGTGCAGAAAAGGGCATCATTGCCAGGGTTGCAAGATCTTAACAAGACAGTATATTGTAGGTGTAATCTACAGGAATGGGGAGGAGCTCAGCTTGTGTGGATTGGAAGGGCCGAATAAACATGTCAGTCCATTGCCAATGGCACCCACAAGCCCGAATTCTGACTTTGCACTGATTTCTTCCCCGGCTACAAATTCTACAAGATCATCGACATAAATAAGACTTTCTCCTCAACCTGTTTTTCAGGGCCATGCCAGGCTTTAAAATGGACAGGCCCCAGTTTCATTTGCATGTTGTTGAATTTGGAGAGTCAGTCGATTGAGCCAGGTCTCACAGTCAGCACAGTGCCAAACTGCAGAATCTTTCAGGGTGAAATGGAATTTAGAAAGATGAAGGAGAAAGGATTGAAGAGTGATCTGTTCCTCTTTCAAAGTTCAAAGCATAAAATCTTTCTCCTCAGACTTATCAGTGAATACTGTCCTTTACTTGGCTAATATTTATTATATAGCATAAGATGTAACAAAATTTTCTTAGGCTAGGAATGGAAATAAAGTGATGATTCTAACTGTAGTTGGGCAGTTTAGAGTGTGATGAAGGAGAAAAGAGAAATTTTCCATCACCCCCCAATGTGCACAGAACCACAGAATCACAGACCATTACCACTGCCCATTGTCATCGATTTTAGGGGTGATCTAATTTACCTTCCTAGTCCAAGTAGGCATCACCTCTCTGCCTCTGACTTATTTGTACCTACTATGTGCCAGTCATTGTGCTGGGCATTAGAGAGCGACAGAGATGAAGACAACTTGGATCTCCAGGAAGGAGTTCAGCCTAGTGGGTACCATGGCCCAAAAGAGGTTTGGACCTAAGGTAGCTTATGTGTCACAGCCTTAATCCTCACTGTGTGTTTGGGCAGGCTGCTGATTGTGGAAATGCACGAACGGATGCTGGGCATGGTTCACCATCCTCCCTCACCATGTGGGCCAACTCCATGACCTCCATGACCTACAGGGAATTAGACTTCTGACCTCTCCCTTGACCCTGTGACTTCCTAAACTGCCTTGTGCATGTCCAGGCTTTGGGACAGGTAACAGTGAAGTCTCTGCCCAGTGAGGTGAGCGGTCACTTGGGTGACCTGGGAGTAAATCCCTTCCCCTCTCTGGATCTGTTAAATGAGAGACTGACATTTTAGGCAAAGGCTTTGTGCAAATGTCCACCTAAGCCATGCTCCCTGCAAGGAATCCCGTCTTAATGATGGTGGAGAGGTGGGGAGGGTATAGTGCAACTCCCATTCCTGATCTCCTATCACCAGATTAGAAGAATCACTGGAGAACGACTCTGTCTGAAGCTTGTTCAGCCCGGCTTCCTTGAGCAAGCAACTCATTCACAGGTGAGTCCAAATTAATACAGTACACAGCAGCTGCATAAATATTGTGCTGTAATTGATTGTCTTCTGTAATCAAAGGCAAGGCTGCTGAGTTCGTTACTTTCCATGTAACTGCTGGAGAAGAACTCTGGGGAAAGGGAGTTGAGGTTGCCCAGGTGATTTTTGTTGCTTGGGTCTAGCTGCAAGTTGTGTCTCTGTCTATCGAGGGGAGGATAAGGCCCATTACATTCAGATTCAATAAGAATTTATCAAACGCCTATTTTGTGAGAGGCATTGAAAGACACGGTATCTTATTTCATTATTAATTTGGTATTAGTAATGACTTGATAAGGCACACATGTTAGTCTTTACAATAACTTTTTTTTTCCTAGCGTAAACGGGTTCCCTACCCTATTGCCTGTGTCCACTTTATTGATTGCAAAACAGCTTAAATGCATGGGATTGGAAATTTGAAGTCACTTTAACAAGTCACAAGAAAACTTTGAAGTCACAAGAAAACAACACTATCTTTCCATGTACCTGCCAGTGCTAAGTCTGGCTTGGCTTTTCCAGTGGTTTCTTGGACTTGAGTGAGGTGGCTTCGCTTTTCTCATCCCCTCCCAGCTAAGACTGCTGTGCATTTTCAGTAATTCCGAGGATGCTCTACCCTTTAGGAAAGCAGAGTTTTGCAATCCACAAATCCCTTTTACCTTGAGGGATGGTGGTGATGGTGGGTGTCAGAGACTCTGTCTGCATAAGTCCCCGGAAAAGCTCAGCTGTCGCTGGACCCGAGGGTTCTGCAGTTTCCCTAACCTTGACTTTAAGTCAGCCCTCTTTAACCCCGACTCCCAAGCAGGGCTGTCTTCGAAAGAAAAACGAAACCACCCAGTTCTGAGCGTCTGAAAACGGGCACTCGCTCCCTGGGGGCTTGGGGTAACTTCCCCCGCTACATCGCCCAGGGATTTTAAATAATCGTGAGCCACCAGAAACCCCCTAACCCTTAACTCTCCCCTCCAAGACCCAGCCCGCTGCCTGCCACTTTCCTCTCCAAACGCTAGTGGGGGTGGGTGGCAGCACCGAGGCGATTTTCTTCGTCTTTTTTTCCTCCGGGTTTTGTCATGGAAACGCTGACAGAACCTCCAGAAGGCGGCCGAGCCTGGCCCGGGACCGAGGGCTTTTGGGACCCTGCGGGAGCGCAGCGCGCACTCCGCACTCCCCGGGCAACAGCTGGACGCGACCATGTCCCGGGTAGGGGCGGGGGGAGCGCGATGCTCCGCCCCGGCGCTAGGGCCCCTCCCTCCTCCCGGCTCTCCGCAGGCGCCCTCCCCTCGCTGGGGGCCGCGAGTTGCTTTTGGTAAAACCCAGCCCCGGAATATATAGATCATAGAAGCGCAATGAAGTAGCCTTTGGAGAGGAGGGAGGGGGCCTGTCCGACAGCCACAGCGGCCAGCGCAGCGGCAGCGGCGGCGGCACCACCATCTCCGCTCGCACCCCAGCAGCCCGGCCCGCGACGAGGCAGCGGCGGCCGCCGGCGGGAGCGGAGGAGGCGGCGGAGCGGCGAGAAGGAGGAGCAGGAGCGCGCAGCCGGCGGCTCCACGCATCTCAGCACTTCCAGACCAACTCCGGCACCTTCCACACCCCTACACGGGCTGGGGGCTCCGAGAGCCACCGCAAAGCGAGCCCGATCCTCCCTCCGAGCCTTGCTCAGCTCTGCCCCGCGCCTCCCGGGCTCCGGTCCGCGCGGCGGGGTCCCTACTCCTGCGCCCCGGGCGCGCCTCCCGGACTCCCCGGTCCCTGAAGCCAGGACAAAGCCATGAAGCCAGCGCTGCTGGAAGTGATGAGGATGAACAGAATCTGCCGGATGGTGCTGGCCACTTGCTTGGGATCCTTTATCCTGGTCATCTTCTATTTCCAAAGTATGTTGCACCCAGGTAGGGGGCGCGTTAGCGTGGTTTTGTTGGATATTTTCTTCTCTCTCGCGCTCTCGCTCGCTCGCTCCGCCTGGTTTCTGCCTCTTCCTACCTTTCCTCTCCGCCTTCGGCCTCTTCGGGGCTCTTGGCTGCCCGGGTGTACCCGGGTCGCCCTATCGGGATGGGAGGAGGGAAGGTGTGCTTCCCCCATTCTTGCTCCCGGTTCCGGGCTGGAGGATGGGACTAGGAGGGGCAGTAGTTTATTTTTTTATTTTATTTTTTTCCCTCTTCTTCTTCTTCTTTTTCTTTGTGTCCCTTGTCTGTCTGTCTGCGATGTAGCAGGGAAAGGGAGAGGTGTGGGAAGCAGCCAGGGGTGAGGGGCTGGTTTGAGGAGAACGAAACTCTCCGGTGCTGCCGGGGTCGGAGAATGAGAGTTTACCCGGAGCCGGCTGCTCTGCGCTCGGCGAGCCGCCTCTTCCTGGTCGCGGGGCCGGGGGCGAAGGGTACACGCCCTGGCAAGGGTGCGAGTCCATGCAGCAGGCTGGGGAGCCCGGGACTGGGGTCCCACGTGTCCCGGGCCCTGCGCAGAGCTGAGCAGGTGTGGAGAGAGGTCGGGTGCCCGGCACTGCCCCTCCATCACGCGCTGGCCGTTTGCCCCCGGGGTCCGGCTCCGCAGTGACCTTGCGGCTGGTGCCCCGGGGCCTACTCCAGCCCCTCACCCGTGAGCTGGGAACTGAGATCCTGGGTCACGCCTTGACCACTGCAGTTTTGGAGGAAACTTTGACCAGGTCCTGGGCTGACCGTCCGTGTGCATCCCCCTACTTCTGGGATCCGAGCAACGAGAATCCCCCGGGCTGCGTGGGAATGAACTCCCTTCCTCCGGTCCCCTGTGGCTCAGGCAAAGTTCCACGTCCGAAATCTGGACTGGGGGAGGGACGAGGCTCGCAGCTTCCGAGGGGCGCGAGGAAAAGTTTGGGACCTGGGGAGGGAGGGGCGCCCTCGAGCGCGGCCGCCGGGGGTGAGCAGCTCGGCTGCAAAACCCAACAGGTAGAACCTTCTGAGAAGCCTTCCAGTGTAACTAGGTCTCCCTGCCAAGCCTAGGCTCCCCTGCTCCGGTTTCCCCTCCCTTAACGGCCCCCTGCCGGGCCACGTTGGCTCAGAAATCCTTTTTCTACGCCTCCGAGTTGCCTTTCTCAGTGTAGTCACAGCAATAATTTGCTTTTCTAATTGCAAGGAGGAGGGAGGTGGAAACACATTTCCTTCCTGGGAAGTGGGGTTGGTGTTTTTCGTTTATGCCTCTCGCCTTCCCCTTTCACTGTGTAACACTAAGCAGACGCAGTCCCGAATTCATCAAACCTGCGTCTGGGTCGATGGCAGAGGAATAAAGCCGTTCTTTCCATCAAACGGGCAGGGCTGCAGGCTGCAGATTCCTTGACAGCGCAGGGACAGACGGCCCCCTTGCCCCACTCGGCCTGGAGCAGTTGTTAAGGCAGCCACACTGCCAAGGGTATCGTCCGACTCCACCACATGTAACCTCAGGACGTCCGAGCCAGCCCCGTTAAAGATGGCTTTTGTTTGCAGCCGGGTATTTTTAGTTTAATGTCAGCAAACTACAGCGGTGTTTGTCTCCTCACCCAAACCTGCGGTTGTGAAACTTCTAAGGGAATTTAAAAATGGACCTGGCTTGCATTGCAGCAGGCGGGCTTTGGTTGCCGTGGGCAGGACGAGACAGACAGGGGTATCTCAGAGTGCCAAGCTCCTGGGGCCACCGGAGACCAGGCCAGGCTCATTCCAGAGTGCCAGGGGATGGGTGGTGTGCAGATACACTGGGGTTCAGACAGTTTAAACAAGGGGCCGGGTGATTTGGTCTAAACTCTAGAGATTTGTCCAAGTCTCTTAAAGTTTTGTTGGAATCGTGAATGCCAGTAATACTCTGTACAAATGTGCAGAACACGGATGAGTGTCAGCCTTCAGCAGGAATGTGCTTGAGCTTCTGCGTACCTGTTAATTGCCCAGGGAAATAGAATTGTCATGGAATCTTTGTGAGAATTGGGAAATAACTTTCTAGTCAAAGATACTAGGAAGAAATTTCCAACTTGTAATTGGCACTTTATGAAAATTTCCAGCTCTTGTTAGAGTCTTAAGTTGACTTGAAAGTGACATCATATCTTTTCAGTCCAGCCTTTTGGAAGAGGCAGAGAACCTTTTCTAAGCTTGTGCTGATAAAGATCCTCTGTCGATGATCCTGTCCCATCTTTTATGTCCCCTTCTGGTCCTATTTTCTCCCTTTGGTTATTATTTGGATCTCTATAAATATACTTTTCTGATATTTCCCCCGAGTCCATAGCAAATACTACTTTCAAAATATTCTGTTGAATGTAGAATTGCAGATAGTTCAATTGAAAGACCTTCCTTATTTCAGATTACTTATAGTTCCACAAAAACTCAGTGTCAACAGTTTATTATTACATGGGGCGTAAAAATATACTTTGAAATCCACATTAAACATTTTCTTTTTTGGGGGTTCATTTTATTAAGCTATACTGTTGATGACCACTGACATGGAATCTTTTTCATGCTGGTTTGAATTTCTTTAAAAGTTAAAGATCCTTGCTTCTCTGAAGTATCTTGGGGTAATGAAGGCTGATCCTTTAGCCTGGCTTTGCAGTTTTTGTCTCTCTAGATCACACTGGAAGAGGCAGAAGGGACCACAACGTGGCACAGATTGTACAGCTAAAAATTTGGAGGCCTTTGGCAGGGGTTCCAGATACCTACATGAGAAATAGAAAAACAGTATTGCAAAAGTGATGGGCTCCAGGCTTCGTTGGTGGCTGGAAGGTGTGAGAAGAGGAGGAGAAAAAAAAGGAAGGTGGGGCACGGTGGCTCATACCTGGAATCCCAGCATCTTGGAAGGCCAAGGTGGGCAGATCACTTGAGCTCAGGAGTTTGAGACCAGCCTCACCAACATGACGAAACCACGTCTGTACTAAAAATACAAAAATTAGCTGGGTGTGGTGGCACACGCCTGTAATCCCAGGTACCCCAGAGCCTGGGGCATGAGAATAGTGGATGAACCTGGGAGGCAGAGGTTACAGTGAGCTAAGATGGCACCACTGTACTCCAGCCTGGGCGACAAAGTGAAACTGTGTCTAAAAAATAAATAAATAAATAAATAAACTGAAACAAAAAGGAGACAGCTGGCAAGGCCGGCTGCCCCTCTCTCCGATTCTAATCTGGGGCCCATTTTCTTTTCTAATTCATATAATTGATTAATTTGTACATTTGAGTGATTGGTCATCAGTTGCACAAGGGTTTAGCAGAAGTGGGCCTTGTCAGTAGAACAGTTACCTTTAGAGGTTTTTGATACTCTGAGTTAATAGTCTTCCTTAAGAATATTTTACAGGACAAGGACCAGGTTTTAGACTACATTTTAGTGCCAGTGTTTTTTGCACAGGGTCTGACAACGGTGGATTCTCAATAAAATATTTGCTGGGTGAATACATGAAGTGGTTAAACTCCAGAAGTAGACCCACTTATCTGGTTTTCAGGAAGGTCACTTCAAGCTTTACCAAGAACGCCTGGTCAATAACTCTGGCTTTGTCCGGTGGGGACACTTCCTGCCTTCCTGAACTCTGGCATGGACCTGGTTTAAACTCATCAGGCGCCAGACAGGAGCTTTCACCGTGGCCTAAATATGCATCCCATGAGGTGTAGGCAGTTGAGGCATTGCTCTGTGTCCTGGATTCTGGAGAAGGTTGGCCTTGTTTAGCCACTAAGGAAATCCATCCATAGAACAGATAATCTTCTATGGCTGTGAACTACTCCAAAAGTCAGGGAGAATGGAACCACAAACGTGCGGTTTCTATACGGGTGTGAGTTCACCAATGAATGCTTCCTATGAAAGTTCATCCGCTTACATTAAAATGTCTTGCATACCTGCCCCAGACGACTGGGCTTTGATGGAGCCATATCATGCAAAGCAAAGCTGAGAGGCCTGCGGGCTGCATTTGTGCACAGTATGTAAAGGCAGCTCCTCTGAACCTTCCTTTTGTGTTACTCCATAGGATTGCGGTTTTTGTTTGAAAGCTACCGTTCATAGAAAGAAGCCATCAGAGGAGAAAACCTTTTCTGTCCCGTTCACTTCCTCTGTATTATTTTTATTTTTGTGAAACGTTTGTTTTCACTGTCACCTGGGATTTCTTTGCCTTGGTCGAATGTATTGAAAGATTATATCCTTTATTGAAAGATGTCTCAGTTTACCCCCTTAGCGTTTCACTTGATCAGGTTGAATCTAAAATGCATTTTGTTTTATAATTTTAAACTAATTATAAACATAATATGTGCTCATTTTAGAAAATTTAGGAGGTGGTGGGGTGCGATGGCACACACCTGTAGTCCCAGCACTTTGGGAGGCCGAGGTGGGTGGATCACCTGAGGTCAAGAATTTGAGACCAGCCTGACCAACATGGTGAGACACTGTCTCTACTACAAATACAAAGAAAATTAGCTGGGCGTGGTCGTGCACTCCTTTAATTCCAGCTACTAGAGAGGCTGAGGGAGGAGAATTGTTTGAATCAGGGAGGCGGAGGTTGCAGCGAGCTGATCAGGCCATTCTGTCTTGGGTAACAAGAGCAAAACCCCGTTCCAAAAAAAAAAAAGAAAGAAAGAAAATCTAGGAGGTATAGAAGAAAAACAATCATTATTCCACCAAGAGGCAACTGGTACTTAAAAATATATATTATAGAATACATTTACATATATTTATATATTCTATATTTTTCTCAACTATACAAAATGCATATATATAGTTGAGATAACAGCATACATTTTTGTATCCAGTTTGATACTAAGTTTTCTGTTTTTTTGAGATAGAGCCTTGCTCTGTCACCCAGGCTGGAGTGCAATGGCATGCTCTCGGCTCACCGCAACCTCCGCTTCCTGGGTTCACGCAATTCTCCTGCCTCAGCCTCCCAAGTAGCTGGGATTACTGGTGTGCGCCACCACGC